TCTCCGTGCCCCTCTATGGCCTCGCTCCATATGTGAGTGGCATACGCAAGAAGGTCCCCAGTCGATCGGTTACGTCGAAACCCGTATTGCCGATCGCTGAGGAGATCGTTACCTTCAAGGTATGCCAGGAGTCTATTGTTAAGAACACGTTCCATGCTCTTGCAGAGTATGGACGTGACCGAAATAGGGCGGTAATTGTTAGGGTCGGCACGACTACCTTTTTTAGGCACAGGCTGTACGTTGGCCAGCTTCCAAGCAACCGGTACTAGACCCGTCTCTAAGGAAAGGCGAAACAGACGTGTCAACATTGGAGACAACTCAGGCGCACAGGTTTTTAAAACCAGGGCTGGGATTCCGTCGGGACCACTGGCCTTGTTCACGTCCAGATCGCGTAGCGTCCTATATACCTCCCTCTGTCGAATGCGAATTTGCGACATATTCGTCTTGCATACGCTATTAACAGAAGGAGGCAAGGCGCCACCAGTGTCAAGACGCGAAGACTCCGCAAATAGAGAAGCAAATAGATTTGCTTTCTCTACCGCAGTGTGAGCCAGCGTCCCGTCAGACCTCAGGAGCGGAGGAAGTGAGGAGCGACAGAAGTTCGATTCAACCGCCTTGGCCAGGGACCAAAAAGCTTTACTTCCCGCTGGGTAGGAAGCTAGTTTGTTCCCTATACGGCCAATGTGGTTAAATCGAGCCATCCGTAATGCCTTTTTGCATGACTTGGCAGCCCGATTAAAGGCTCTCTTCTTTTGATGAATGTCATCAGCCCTACGGCGCCTGGCATCCGCCCATGCCAAGTATGCCGCCTGCTTTTGCGCTTCGGCACGTCCGCAGTCGGCATCGAACCAAGGACGGGTCCCACCAGAGGATGCCACGTCCGAGAATGGAATGTAGTATTCCATGCCCTGGCGCAGCACCCCCGTTACGGCTTCCGCACAAGCTGACGGGTCATCAGAAGAGAAGCAGACAGGCCGCCAAGGATAGGAAGCGAAAAAAGATCGCATCCCATCCCAGTCCGCTGACTTGTATCGCCACATCCGCCGAGGTCCTCTGGGACTCGGATCTGGTGGGGAGTGTGTCGATACAGATTTCACCAGACAGTGGTCAGAGCTACCTAGAGGTGATGAGACTGTCACCGAGTAGCGGTCTGGATCAGTTGTCAGCAGAAGGTCTAAGCAATTGGCAGTGTGCGTATCGACATCGGGCACCCTTGTGGCTTCCTGGACCAGCTGGGTCAGGCCAAGCGAAAGCGCAAGCTTACGCATTTCCCTTCCAGCATGGTCGGTGCACTGGTATGGGAATAACCACTCCTGATGATGAGCGTTAAAGTCCCCCAGTAACACCAACTGGGCCGAAGGGTACGCCTGACGAGCCGCATCCGCCGCTTCGCCGAGGTATTGCGCTAATCTGGTCGCCTCCAAATCTCCGCTGTGCGACCGATAGACACAGGCATAAAGAATTTTCTCCATGCCTATGTCCACCAGTATCCAGAGAGCAGAAAAGCTTGGGTCTTCAAGGTTTCGGAGACGCCGGTAACAGATGCCGTCTCGGACGTATACGCATACACCTGCATGCGGAACAAAATTGTGCTCCAGGGAAAAACCAGGGTAGTTCAGGTAGGATACGTCCGACGGGCACCTGATCTGGGTCTCCGAGAGAAACAAGAGTGTAGGGTTCTCGGTCTCGAGGTGGTGATGGACCGCATTGACATTAGAGTGCAAACCTCGAATATTTGAGAGGTGCACTATGAAGGAGAGGGAGTGCAGCCGCTGTTGAACCCTTTTCTTATTTCTCAGTGTCATTATGTAGAGTGGAAGGTTGCTGAGAGGATGGCAGTGAAATGGTCCCCCACGCAGGCGACCCCACGACGCGCACCGTAGTTAACCACACCATTGGGAGGCCAGTCTGGAGACTGCGGGGACGCCCGAGCCCCCCCACGAATATCCATCGGGCCCTCTCCTCCGGTCGCCAACCGGCACGATGGCGTATCCATGGGATTTTTCGCTAGATGGCAGGGCAGCCTTTCACGTGTGGCTAGCACGCTAGTTGGGCCCCCAACTATCTGCGGTCGGCCAGCGGTGCACCGTGCCTCGGATCCCGCTACCCTCCGCGACTGGACACCCGGTGTAGCTACACCAGCGCGCGCCAGACCGGCTATCCTACAGTGGAACAACCATCTCGACCCATCCTCTCATACGGCGTCACCGAGCATCGTGGCGGAACACGGCTGGGCCGCTTGGCGACACGCTTTTGCTCGATGGGTGGTCATAAAGCCGGCGGCCGAAGCCTACCACCAAAGTGTCACCTGGTTAGCACCACCCAGAGGCCACGTGTAGGGATATTGATTTTGGGGTGCTCTCCTACGGACGAAGGTGACTCAGCCTCCAAAGTAAGAGACATGTCTGATGCATATCGATTGCAAGAGGACCTGCACAGATTTGAGATGTATTGCAAACGTAACAAACTCCAATTAAATGTCACTAAGTGTTTCGTCCTAACATTCTCACGACGTACGTCTTTGATCAATTTTAATTATGTCATCAACTCGGAAGTGATTAGCAGGCTGAATAGCATAAAAGATTTGGGAGTGATCGTAGACAACAAGCTTCTATTTGATCAACATGTGAATAATATGGTAACAAAGGCATCCAAGGCTCTAGGATTTATACTCCGCACTACGGCCTGTTTCCGATCTCTTAAACCGGTAAAAATTTTGTATTGCTCTTTCGTACGTAGCCACTTAGAATACGCATCACAGGTTTGGAACCCGCAGTATGAGGTTTATAAGTCCCGTATTGAAGGCGTCCAAAGAAAATTTCTTCGTTACCTTGATTATAGAGCACAGCAATACTCAGTTGACTACAACCACCGCTGTAAACGGTACCACTTCCTTCCTCTTGACATGAGGCGTCATATTGGAGACATAACTATGCTTATGCGTATCGCAAATGGCCATATTGACTGTCCTGAGCTTGTTGCAAAATTAGCATTGCGCGCGAACCTAATGGGATTACGTCAGCGACCTATATTAAGTGTACCCTTCACATCGACTAACTATATGAAAAATGTTTTTTCAATAAGGAGTGCACTTGAATTTAATAAACTGTCTAAGGAATTTGACATCGACTTATTCTGCACCAGTGTAGCATCCTTGCGACATCAAATCTCAAAAAACTTCTTCGATGGTTAACTTCTTTGTCTAATTATTCCTCTAGCAATTGATATTTGTTAGTAATTAATTGTCTTCTGTACTCTTTTTTATGCCTTTCTGTTTTTTCTTTTTATCTATATGTGGAGGCTTGTAATTAGCAATTTGTCAATACTATACTCTTATAAAATCATTTTCAATGTATTAGTCTGTAAGCCTTCTTAAAATAAATAAATAAATAAAATAAAATAAAATAAAACTCGTGGTATTTTGGACCGATACTACTACAGCCAGTTACAATCAGATGTTAAAACAAATGTTATTCACATTGGCAACAACAACAAAATAGCTGCAAATGCTTCCTGACTACGGTACCTACTATATAGAACTATTCCCGGGACCGAGCCGTTCTATTCAACACAACAAACCGACAAACTATACATTAAGTAAACCTAGTTAAATAATTGATGTCCCGCCCCGGGTCGCTGCGGGATTACTGCGGGATTATTATAATGAACTGTAATCGGACAATCGGAATTGCGATATTTATTCATTACTAAGACGCCGCCATACTTGTATACTGGACAAGAAAACGAACAGACTAATTACAACTGTATTTCTATTGCTATAAAGTTTAAAATCAATTTAAATCTGGGCTAGTAATCGTTCAGACTGATTCACAACTTTATTCCTCTTTATATAAAGTCCTAAGTCTAATGAAAGAAGTAAGTAAATGGTATACATATCAATGTACAATGCACATCAGTGCTGTCGTCTCCACAGAAATTATTCCTAAGTTATTTATATTTTCTTTTGTATATTTGATTGAAAGCTTCGTCAAAGAAACAGTTTATTTCATTGAATAGAAATGTGTAATTGTAATTTCATTTTGAATTGAATAGTTTGTAAAATAATATTAATGTTTACTAAAGAAATTAATTTGGTTCCACTGCGATAGACAGCCCCAGTTTACATTTTTGTTGTAGTCACTAAGCGATCAGTTGTTACGGATCATTGCGGGTTCAATTATGGTGTAGGACAATGCTTTTATTATCTGATAGAATGGGTACCTAATGGTAATGTAATCCAGGATCTGAATTGAAAGTTTATTTTTATGTTTTTTAACACAATGATGGGGAAGAATCGAATTGTGTTGCTACGGTTTACAAATAGTTATTTAATTTTCAGACATTAGCTACAGTTGCTGCCATTCGTAATTCTTTATATTTCAAGGCCATCTACCGACATTATTACCTACATAATTATCACTTGTCATTTATCAACAACCGTGTGAAAACTCACCGAGTCTTAAATTGAAGCTGAGACTATGTTTGTCTAGATAATATCTCTTCAAAACACAATACATTTTTATTGTCTCTCATATTGTGACAGTCGAAACATTAAGGGCTTTTTCATGTAGTTCATACAAATTACGTTATTTATAGGCTATCTTGAGCGGGGGTTCCCAACTTTACCTGGTCAAGGACCCCTTTCATCATTCTTCTTTGGTTATTGACGAATATTACTATTACTTTTTTATGTGATACAATATGTGATAAAATAGTGATTTTATGACTGAATGTAATCTTAGTGTGTATCTGAGAGGAGCTAGAAAGTAGTGACTTTCTTTGACTTTCGTTGACTTTAGTTGTCTCCTGATGTATCAATTCAATTTGAGGTTCAACTGTGTCTAGTAGACAGAATAGTTTGTGTATATTTTGTACGTTCCCCAGACCATTTTTTATCTTCTGCGGACCACTAGTGGTCCACGGACCACCGGTTGGGAACCTATAATGTAGAGCATTGGAAACGGGCCCTAAGTGTCATGTATGTATATGTTATGTTCCAGGAGTGGCGGAGCGCGTAGACTACGCCCCGGGCTCGGGCCCCCTAGCCCTGTTCCCGGCGGCCCGGCTGGAGACGTGTCAGTCGGACGAGCGCTGCCCCGGCGTGACGCGCATACAGGCCGCCGTGTCGCTGCAGGCCTCGCGCGCCGGCAGCGGCTGCGACAGGGACACTTACTCGCTGCACTCACAGCGGACTATTTGCGGTGAGTGGCGCGTGGTGCTTACTGCACTAGCTTTTATTTGTCTATGGGCGCTAAACTACTATTAGGTGACAGATAACCTCGCAATCGGCGCGACTCATGGACACCCCGCAACACTAGACAAGTTGCAAATGTGTTGCCAGCCCTCGCGTAGTTCGCAGCTGCAACCTACTTGCCAAGCGTGGCAATTTTTGCAAATTCATCTCATTTAGAGCAGTTGATGAGTTTTATTGTAACTGTAAAATAAATCAAACTTTATCATTTGAATTAAAAATATAAAATTCTAATACATTGTATACTTTAATATTTCCAGGACTTGACCCGAAAACGATCGACCTCCTGCCTAGCCCCGGAGTAGGAAACGAATGGGCGAAATCCCTGAAACCAGACTCAGGTTAGTATACTCCCTTATTGCAGATTCGCAGTCTAGGACAAATATCATTTTAGCAACCTACTAACTCTAGAGAAATCATCATGTTTCTTTTTACATTTTTTGTCTAAATCATTAATGACAATGTTGCAGGTCGTGACGGCGAGCAGATGTTCGAGTTCGACGGCGAGACGACGGCGGCCGTGGTGCCGGAGTCAGTGCTGCCGCACGGCCTGCTGGGCACCTTCAGTATATCCACCTGGATGAGGCACGCGCCGCCGCCTGACAACGACAAACATCGCAAGGAACACGTCCTGTGTCTCGCTGATGATCATAGTTAGTGTCTTGTATAATTATTTGTAGACTAGACTCTATATTAGTACAACAGCTGCAGGTGTAGTGCTGTATCAGCGTTGGAAATCTAAAACGCAACAACAGGTTTAATATAAACATGGAGTGACTTTCAAATGGATGACATACCAACTTTTAATGTTCTGCATTTTTCCAACTAGCTTGGTTCAACCCTGAGTCTTATTCTGGTCCAATATACATGGAGAGACCTGCATCAGCTTTCCACCACCCACAAAGGGTGATTTTGGACTTTTAAGCGCAACAATACTCATCGGGGGGGGATTATATACCAAAGACAATAAAACTTACAGTATTTACAACAACTATTGACTTTGCCCCCTCTAGAAATGAACCGGCACCACTACGCTCTGTTCGTCCGCAACTGTCGCCTGATCTTACTGCTGCGCCGTGACTTCGGCGAGGGAGACCTCAACATATTCCGGCCTGCCGAGTGGAGGTGGAAGCTACCTGAGGTACGGACATACATACACATATTACATACTACTTATTAACATGATAATAAGATACAGTTTCAAACATAATAATATTGTTTGTCTTGTATAAGTATTACAAAATAGTAAAAGAAGTTGGATTGACTCCTGAATCAGGCAAATAAAACTATTTTATTGAAATTTGCTTGCGTAGTTGAGCTATAACTGCTTGTACAATTCACAATTGTTTCGAATCTCAGTGTAAAGTGTATGTATTTGTAAACGACTTATGGCTAAATTTAATAACCGCGTCAACGTACAATACTATAAATTACGTCTCGTTGGTGCGTGCACGTCCACGCTTACATCTACGCATCTCTTCTGCTTGAGCCTTTAATATTTTGAAATAGATTTTTTGGACTAGTCTTGTGGAGTTTCTTAAACCGATGCAGAGCTTTAATATTGAGATCGGTCATGAATCGATTAAACGAAGATAAGTTATTCGGTATATGAATATTTTGCGTTGTTGTGGTAGGTATGCGACAACGAGTGGCATCACTACGCGGTGAACGTGCGCTTCCCGAACGTGGAGCTGTTCGTGGACGGAGAGCCCTACCGCGCGCCCGACGCCAAGGGACCAGAGGTCATCGACGACTGGCCGCTGCATCCCGCGCATGGCGTCAACACTACGCTGGTCATTGGAGCCTGCTGGCAAGGTATGCGATAAAAAGATATTAGATACAACTGAATTACCTTGTACAGACCGTGACTGAATACTTTTTGACATTATCAAAACCTCTTTAAGTTAAAAATGCTAGGAAGGAAGTCACATTCCTGGGATATGAAATATTTACTCACTCAAGACTTTGTTTATTTTTATATAGCATAAATTTGCGTCCATTTTAACACGTCAAGAGTTCATATACCTACCTTATATAAAATAATAAGAGAATCATTATACAAATTATAAAGTCTTAAAATGCTCAAATGTTGTATTGTGTTAATTATTATGTTTGCGGCTTACTCGCGTCAGTTACGCGAGTAGCATGACTTGAAACTAGTATCATTTTATGAGCAGCGTTCATAGTTGTATTGTGATTTTTTTCATACATGTTTATACCGGTTTTGTAATTGTCCGTCCCGCAGGCACGGAGAGCGACATGAAGCACCACCTGCGCGGCTGGCTGGCCGGGCTGGGCGTGGCGCGCGGCGCCGTGCAGCCCGCGCGCGCGCTCGCCTGCCTCGCGCACTGCCGCGAGGGACTCAGTCTGGCGCCAGACCTCTGTACGTCGCCGCGTCATTCTTACTACTACTTTTGTATATTTTCTTGTATACTAACTCTCGAGAGACATGCTACATTTTAAATCATCTTAACCGATTGTTCATGCAATATTCTCGATAATTCTCGAATAGTTTCAAGCTTGATTCCCCGAACTGGTTTGTAAGTAATTGAGCGTCACGATCGTGAGTAGCAAGCTTGGTAAAAAGCCTTCTTCTGCACCTTCAACACTCTCCCTCTATGACAGACACCCTGTTTTTATTTTCATATGTCTGAGTCTTTTCAATTTCTGTTATTTGTGTACATTCCAGACCTGAAGTCAGTATCAGTAGAGGGTGACGGCGTGGCGGACGTGGAGACGTTGCTCCGCCGCGTGGCGTACGGGGACGCGCGCGCCTTCCCCACGCCCGGCCGCAGGAACGTACATGTCGCTACTACCATCACGTACGTAACACGTCGTTACTATTTCTTCCATTAACGTACATACAAACAAAAAGGTCATTTAATGGTAAGCAATTGGTGCCATCTATGGACACTCGCAACACCTCGCTAATCTCACTCAAACGAACGACATTATACATTTTATATTCAGAAAAGGATATTTGCGATACAGTATTCACTTAGTAAAGAACTATAAACAAGCCAGTGTAACTAGTGAGAATTATCGAATAAGACACCTCATACTGACAGTCGAGAAAGATGAAATCCAAAATCATAGTAAGTTGCAAATAACACTGTGAATTTTTCATCTCAAACATTGTTGTGGTCTAACCCTAACGTATTTCTGTCTTCCAGCTGCGACAACGGGCGCATGATCAAGGCCCGGCCCGCCGAGTCGTACATAATGGTGCTGGCCCCGCAGACGCCGTCCATCCTGCTGAACGGCAGCGAGGACCTGGCCAGGGACTACACACACTTCCGCACCGGACTCACTGTCTTCCCAGACCTCGCAGTCAGGGTCTTGTCTGGAGGAAACGGACACGCTATGGCCGGTTTGTATTATTTTATTGTATGTTTATAATCCGCGACGTGACTCGAATGAAGTCAGCCCATGTCCTTCTCCGTACTCATATCTGTAAGTAAAAATTTGAGATGGTTGATTGAGAGAATACTTAAAGCGAAAAGAGGTGACTTAATTTATTTTCCCATTTGTACTAGGTACCTACCAGTCGGATTAAGTAACAAGAGATTTGTTATTGTTATGTGTACTTACTGTAGAATTCGATAGCTTTGTGAGATTACTGATTGATATAGAATGATTTGTATCGTAAATCAATTCCGGAACAACAGTCGAATATATTTATAATTGACCTCAATGTAGAAAAAGACACAAAAGCGTTTTTAGAACAATAGAAATAGAAACGGATTACTAAAAATAATTTAATCAAAATGTATTACAATTGAATTCATGCTTCCCAAATTTAAACTAACTTCAGTATTTTACAAACTAACCCTATATTTTACCCCAACAGAAGACAGCCAGAAGCTGGACTCGTGCGTAGTATCAGTATACCCGGCACTGAACCCGGACCACGAGGCACTGTCCCTGCGCGACGTGGCGGAGTTACCGCTGCGGTACGACATCCGCGCGGCCGTCACGCGGGACGGGGTCATACTCACCGGCGCTGATACTGTACAGAACTACCAGAAGGTATATTAAATACTGCTTTTTGTTGAATCATTAATCCCTTATTAATGAGCTGATAGATCACCTGATGGTAAGCCATTATCAATGCCAGGGAGACACCAGCGCGCTGCCAAACAGATTACAATACTACAACCTTGGGTTAATAGGAAGTCGTATAAGAACAAAATTTATTTTGATTAAGTTACTTATACTTGTTGGGACGCAATTTTTGACTATTTGTAACGTTTTATCGTAATATTGATATAATGATCTTATAACAAATTAATGAATTGCTGTCATTGATGTGACCGTAGTAAATAATATGAATGAATAATATCGTATTGTGCAGGTCCTCCGCGACATAATCTACAGCAACAAGAAGCCTGCCTACTACCTCAACCGCGTGTTCAAGCTCACGTGCTCCGAGCTCAACGGACGCTTCACCAGCAACGAGTACGTGCAGACGGTACGTGACAATGTATACCTTAACATCTAAACAATAAGAGAGATAATTCTATGTAATGGTACGTGCGACCCGAGTGAAATTACCTGTGGCCCAATAGGCCCAATGATCCGCCAACATGAGCAACAACACTTCTACTTGCGACCACCTAATAGTGATCCTAAAGCCGTTTGCCAGTTCTGAAGATTATAGCAAATTCCCTTCCCCCTCCCCCCTTAAAGAGGACCATTACTGGACATTGATAGTGGACATCTTCTACCTTATAAGTCATTTTCACCAACGACTCCTAAACTATCTCTTAAATAGTTACTTGACGTGACGCAACAGCTAAACTAATTTCTTACCAATGTTGGTTGAAAATAATTAAACCAAAATTATTTTATAAACTAAATAAAACCGACTTCAACCCCCTCTTCTTTGAGGTCGGTTTATTAATATACTCAAACCTTCTCCTAAGTGTAACAAACAATTTTGAAAAATGCATCAAAATCGGTTCAGTCAATCGCGGGATAACCGTGCACATACAGGTCAAGCTGAGATGCTCCTTTTTTGAAGTCGTTGAAAAATGTCACCTATCGTATCTTAGAGGTTCCTTAAAATTTTAATTCCTTAAAGTGTTAAATTCCTTCACTAACTACATGCGATATTAATCACTTATGTTTGTTTATATATTCCAGTTGACAGTAGTGCACCCCCACATGTCTGGTGCCAGTGAGGCCGGCCTGGCGCGGGAGATGCATCCCAGCGGCATGGCAGACAAGATGGACGCCGTCGCACGTGACAAACAGGTTTGTATTTATTTACTCAATAGAGGCTTTTCATACCTTTTCAATTCCTTATTCAAATATTTTCTTTACTGAATTTTATAAATATTCCATTTTATATAAGTGCAATAGTGTTTCATGATCATTTGCAAATTCTTGTGTAAATTACAAAGCAATGTACGCTAATCCCCCCTCCCCCCCCAGTCGGAGCACGCGCACCGCGGCGCGCACGCGCTGTCCCCGCGCGTGTACGCGGCGCACGCGCAGCGCGACGCGCACGCCGCCGACGTGCCCGCGCCGCGACTCATCAACCTGCGGGACCACCAGCCCACCAGTACGTGCACTGCATACTTATTTATTTATTTATTCAGCAGCTTCTGTATTGTATATACATGGTATTAAGAGGTAATAAAGGTAACAATAGGTATCGGGCTTATACAGTCGTCAATTATAGGTTATCCAAGTTTACAATTGAGTGATAAATAAAAACTATATAAACGAACAAGAGCCATAAAATTTTAGTAACTGAAATAAAAAAAACTACTACTTACAAAACCAACATTCTTATCTTAAAGGAACATAAAATAAAAGACTTTTAATTAAAACATTGGCTATAACAAAATTAAACAATTCAAAAAAGAAACAAAGAAGATGTTTCGTGAAAATATACTAAGCAAACAATAGTGGTACGACACAATAAGAAATCTTGTCCTCAGCTTATTGTTTCACTTTCAGAAATTAAATTACCCTTCATCATTTTTGAAGTACTTAAATTGTTTACACTGTTATCGTATTTCGATTTCTGTCGCCTTATTAAACACACGACAATTGTAGGGGTTGTAAATCCCTACAGTGTTGATTATAAGTTTATGTTGCAATGTTGAATGTTGTTTATGTTAAATGAGTAGACGACCAATCTCTTAGATAGTTTTATTGCTACTGAATTAAATTAATTATATAGTTTACAAGGTTCAGAAATGCTGATTACGATGATTTAATTATTCGCGCGTATGACGACAAAGTCAATGTACAGCGTAGCTCGTACATCTTGCCCTCTCAAAAAGATAGGTATAATTATAATCAACTAGAATGTTAAGTATAAAATTAGGTTAAGTGTACAAATAGTAAAATTAATGTAACATAAACTGAATACAATAAAGTTAAAATATAAAGTACATAAGCATTATAATTAATCCTTAAATATGTCATGCCATTTTATAGGTGTGGCAACGTGAATAGGGGACGTTGCTTTGTCCAAGTTATTTGTGCTCAATGATATTGGTGGCTCCCTGGATTCGAGCATAGCATTATCTTCCATGCTGACTGTTGATCTCCTCCGTGGTGCAGGGTCAGGAACGCGTAACGGCCCAGGAATCGCTTGAGGTATAGGTTGTTTCTTAAGCTTGTAATACCCATATATTGCAGCTGCTATTGCCACAGTCGCCATAAATAGGTATAGTACGATATATTGATGTATATCGTGATATGTTATTTGGTCAGATATAATGTCTTCGGATCCGGCCTCCTTTATCTGTTTTATTTGTTTACCGAGATCATCCAGCAATAACATATTCGCTTCCTTGGTCAGACTTCCATTGTGTACCTCTTGTATAATTGGAACAGACAGATTAATTAAATTGTTTATCGCGGAATTTCTACCGGAACTATGTCTACTCGAGATCGAATTTCACTCATCTGTAGTTTTCTTGAGTAGGCAGTAAATGTATCGCTGTTGATGACGCAATCGTCGCCAAGTGTCATTACTCCAGCCTTTTGCAATGTTTGTGTTGATATTTGATGCCCACATATGATCCGGATTTTGCATTGTTCGCAACAGAAATATAAATAATGATTCATATTTCTAAGTTCCGTCCATATGTCTTGACAGCGTTCCTGTTTTGTTTGACAATTAGCAGTTTCGTTGTTTTTTTGCATAGACTCCTCTCATCTGATTTCATGCGATAAATGGGTGTTTGTAGTTGGCATAATCGAGTGGTAGTATCATAATGTATGCACTCGTATAGGTCAGGAGCAGTAATAGGTAGATAGGAGTCTTTTTGTAGGTTTATCGCCATTAAGTCAGCGATTGGCAGTAGGGTGACCATATCTCCACCACTCCTTTTAGGTACAGGTATAACTCGATAGACCTCGTAGTTATCTCTGGTTGTTAAGGGCACCTTCATCTCAACCAACAGGTATTTTGCTGTTATTTTCGCTTTCATTTGAAGAAGGTGATATAAGCGAAAGAAATCTGTTTGCATATTGGTGATAGGCAGGGCCAGATCCTTTGATAGTTGACCAGAAATAATGTTCAATTCGTACCGTAATTGGTCTGGTGAAATGAGATGCGTGTTGATGTCGCCGTTGTAAATATTCTTCACAGTGTCCAACAGTGTCTCCTGGACGTCCTTGAGATGTTCGATTAAGATGTTTGCGGAGATGGCGGACATAGTAAACTCAATGGATAATTCTTGGGACCTTATTTCTTGTTGTAATTCATTGGTTATTTTATCCAAATTAAGTAAGTGTTGGTTGAATAGCTTGTGTTGCATTTCTAATCTTTCTTCAGATCGTCTTAGTACATTGTATTCAGCTTCTATGACAGACGTCTGATTTTTGGCTAACAGTGCCAGATGTTTCTCATTTTCTCTGATAAGGTTAATGTCCCGTGTGTATTGTTCTGCAAATTGGTCATCCAATACACCGAACAAGGAACGTGCGATGGAACCGACACCGTTGATAAGCCCGCGTTTGCTTCTTATGTTTCCTCGGCCTTGCGGACTCAGCAACATGTTGTTGTAGTGTTCAAGTTCAGCGAGCGCGAGTCGCATTTGTAGTGAAATTATTTTACATTGTGTTTTTGGCTTGATCCTTTCACATACATCTTCCAAATGTTCGTTGAATTTTTCTATTACTGTTAAGCTGGTCCAATATGGTGAAAGGTCATAATATACTACTATTTTCCATTCGTCGCGAATTACTTTCAAATTTGTCACTTTGTCGAAATAGAGGCCTTGTTGGATCTCTGCCGTGTTGAAATTATTGTTTGCTGTGACTGGATTTAGAAAATATAGCAAAGTCATAACTAGGCTAAATAAGGTTACGTTGCTTGTTGTTTTATTTTTGACGCGTTGTGACCGTTCTGTGCCTCTGTTTGTTGATGGATGAGTCGCCCTTTCACAATGATTGGATGTAATTTGTTGTTTTTTTGTTCATTGTTTTCTAATGGCAAGATAGATATTTTTGTTATGGGTCTCTTCATGTAACCATTTTTGGTCTTGAGGTCTACCACGCGAACGTATCCATCTTCTCCCGGGTAAATGTTGGTTACTTTACCCATTAACCATTTCCCTGTAGGCATGTTATCGTCATGAATGACAACTACGTCTCCGATTTGTATGTTTCGTTGAGGCCTCTGCCACTTAGTTCTGACCAACAGCTGACTCAAATATTCTTCCTTCCATTTTTTCCAAATGTCCGCGAAAATTTTTCTAGTTAATTCCCATCTTGTGCGAGCATCTTCCTTTGTTTCAATGACGGTCAAACCTGACCTTCCTGTTAAAAAGTGGGCTGGCGTCAGACAATCTAAATCTTCGATGTTTTCAGTTAGAGGGCACAAAGGTCTAGAGTTTAAGCAGGCTTCCAGTTTAGATAGGATGGTGTAGTACTCCTCAAACGTAAGCCTTTGTTCTCCTACAACTCTTTTCAGATGGTGTTTCAAGCTTCTTACTGCTCTTTCCCACAATCCCCCTGCAGATGGCCACGCAGGTGCATTAAAGTGCCATTCTATGTTCATCTCAACTAAATCCCTTAGTAATCCTTCATTCTTGTAAGTAATTTCGATTTCCTCATATTGTTCTCGAAGTTGTCTATGTGCGCCGATGAAATTCGTACCGTTATCACTATATAAGTGCCGTGGAGCACCCTTTCTTGCCGCCATTCTGTTTAGAGCTGCCAAAAATGCTGAACTGGTTAGATCGGAGACCAATTCCAGGTGTACTGCTTTCGTCACCATGCAGATGAATACGGCAATATATCCTTTGGTTGCCTTGGCTCCTCTTCCCTTGTTCATTTTGATGTCAACGAAGCCTGTGTAGTCCACTCCTGTATGGTAGAATGGTGGAGCGGGGTTCGTTCTTGCACTTGGTAGCTCACCCATCAGTTGATGTTGTTTTACCGGGTTTATTTTACGGCATGTAACACAGTTTCGAATTTGTTTCTTTGTTGCTCGAATACCCCCAATAATCCAGTACCTTTGTCGAAGATACGATAGGGTAAGACGGGGCCCACCGTGGAATGTTGTACGATGAGCTTGATCAATAAGTAACTGTGTCAGACGGCTCTCGTGTGGGATGATCATCGGATGTTTCATTTCTTCGTTTAATATCGTGTTCCTTAATCGTCCTCCGACACGTAGCAAATCTTCGTGATCAATGTAAGGATTGAGAGTTCTTAGTTTGCTGTTTGCTTGCACAGTTGATTTCTTGCGTAAGTGACTAATATCTGTGTCAAATATTTTATGTTGTGTTTGTTTCACAATTACTTTTGTTGCATTATTCAATTCCTGCAGTGTAAGATACTTCGGTAATTGACGTCGCTTTGGGTTCAAGGCTCTGAGTATCCAAGCAATTATGCGAACGATGTGATTAAAAGAGCTATGTTTGTGTAATAATTGTTCTGTTATATTTGTTGTTGCTATGTCTATTTGGGTCGCATTTGCTTGTATCGGAGTTTTTTTCTCATTTCTTGGTCTGTAGTATATGTTTGTTTTCCTATGTCACTTGTTCTAAAAGATGATAGCCATTCCGGACCTTGCCACCACAGTTGATTGTCTTTCAATTGACCAGCAAATTGGCCTCGGCTAGCGGCATCAGCAGGGTTTTCTGTTGTTTTGACGTATCCCCACTGGGAGCCTGGCATCACTTCATGTATTTTTCTGACTCTGTTTTCCACATATACTTTCCATCTTGATGGGTCTCCTTGTAGCCAACCCAGTACGACCATGGAGTCAGTCCACCCGTAGATTCGCAGTTCATGTTGATTTAAGGCTTCTTTATCTTAAGCATTAGTTTAGCTAATAGATAGGCTCCATTTAATTCTAGTCTGGGCAATGTTGTTAGTTTTTTCTGTGGTACAAGTTTAGACTTAGCAGCGACAAGTGTGATTTTTGTTGACGCATGGACTCGTGCGTAAATTACGGCAGCGAAGGCGGCCAGCGAAGAATCGCTGAACCCGAATAATTCTATTGTTGAGTTTTCGTTACTCATGAGCCATCTAGGTATTTCACAAGTATTTATCGCTTTTATATCCGCTTGTATCTTGTACCACTCAGTGTTTATGTTATCTGATACTTCGTCGTCCCATTCTAATTTTGTTTCCCATAATTTTTGGAACAATAACTTCAGTTTTGTTGATAAAGGAGCGAGCCATCCTAGTGGATCGAATAATTTCGATATCTCAGCCAGTAGACTGCGTTTTGTATGTTTTTGGTTCTCGTTTGAAATAGAGCATTGGAAAGTGAATTTGTCTTCCTTTGGGTTCCAACACAGACCAAGAGTTTTGGACGTTTGTTCTGTTCTGAATTTGAAAAAGTCTTCATTGACCTGTTGAGATGAAACTTGATCTAGTAGCGTCGCGTTGTTTGTTGTCCATTTCCTAAGATTGAACCCTCCACTTTTAAGCAACTGTTCCAAGTCGGAAATTATTTTCTTTCCTTGTTCTGTTGAATGCGATCCATGAACTAGGTCATCCATATAAAATGCTTCTTCTAGTACCTTTGAAGCCTCTGGAAACTGGTTTCTTTCATCTGCTGCTAATTGTCTTAACGTCATCATGGCTAAGAAGGGCGCTGCCTTGGTACCATATGTGACTGTTGTTAGCTGGTAAGACTGTAAGGGTTGATTCGGTGAGTCTCGCCATACAATCCTTTGTAATGGTTGGTCACATTGAGCTACTAAAATCTGTCGATACATTTTTTCTATGTCAGCGGTGTAAGCATATTTGTACTGTCTCCACTGAATTAGTAATGTCTGCAGATTTTGTTGTAGGTTTGGGCCCCGGTACATAAGATCGTTTAAACTACATCCAGTTGATGTTTTTGCGGATGCATTAAACACCACCCTGTACTTGGTTGTGGTTGATTCGGCCTTGTGGACGCCATGATGTGTGTAAATAGCACTCCGGTGCTGTAATACTCGTTGATAGTTTCATGTGACCCAGTTCAATATATTCTGACATAAACTCTCTGTAGGATTTAGCTAATTGCTCTTGTTTTTGTAGCTTTCTTTCCAGATTTTTGAACTGAGCTATGGCCATCGGTTTGGATACACCTATTTTGTTTGCCATGTCAGGTTTCATTGGCAATCTGACCTCATATCTCCCATCATTTGAGCGCTGTGTTGTGTTGGTGTAATATTCAATGCATGTTTGATCTTCCTGTGAGATATTAGATTGATCACTAATGTCCTCCGCATCCCAGAATTGTTTCATATCTTCCACATTATTCAATACTACATTGCACTGAAATGTTTTAGCGCTTCCGCACAGAAGCCATCCTAGTTGCGTTTGCTGCGCTATAGGTTGGGTGACGTCATCACCTTTGATCATTCCTCCCAGCATTATTTGAGAGTAAATGTCAGCTCCAAATAAAAGATCCACGGAGCTACTTTTGTTGAAGTTTGGATCTGCTAGATTAATGTTTTGCAAGTGAGTCCATGATGGTTTTGTAAAGGATCTGTTTGGAAGGTTTTTGATTAGGTTTTTCATAATGAGTACAGATGTTTCAAACTTAAACTCATTATATGACGATTGGCATAAGATTGTTATTAGCCCTTTACAGCTTGATTCCTTTTGTCCAACTCCAAAGATAACGCCTTTGCATTTTTGACGTTTCGCACCAATAATTTGCGCGGCATGTTCGGTAATCAATGATATCTGTGACCCTTGATCTATAAGGGCTCGCATATTATGTAAGGTTCCATCAGCACCTTGTACCTTGACTATCGCGGTTGCTAATAGAATCTCATAGTCATTGTTATCTCGAGAGACATTGGCAGAAATAGACTCTCTTTCTTCAGTGCTCTTATTGCATGCATCGTGTAATAGCGTGTTGTGTTGACCTTTGCACTTTCGGCATCGGTAAGTCGATGTACATTTGCGCCCATTATGGCTAAATAGACAATTAACGCATAACTGCAATTTGTTCACTGTGCTTAGTTTTGCGTCATTATTCATTTCTAAAAACTTAGCACAACGATATATGCCATGTTCGTTATTGCAAAGTGGACATTTCAGTGTTAATGTATGAAATGATTTCGTAACCACCTTGTTGCTATCTGACTGGTTGTATTTGTAATTGTTGTGGTACTGTTTCTTTGGGTATGAGTTTCCTTGGCTCTGTGAGTTGGATCCATTAGTTTTCTGGATAACATCTTGTTTACGCTGAGATGATTCCAATGAGGTAAACTTTGCTTCTATGTAGTCTAGGAACTCTTGCAACACAGGCAGCTCACGGGAATTTTTCAACGAGTCATTGTAGTCTGAAAGTGTTACTGAGTCCAACTTCAGTGACAACATGTGCACTAGCATAGGATCCCAAGATGTAATATCAACCTCCAAGTTTTTTATAGCGTGTAGGCACTCAACAGTGACATCATGCATTCTCTTGAGTGCTGTTAGGGACTGTTGTTGCATGATCGGCATATTGAGCAGCATATTGAAATGTGTGGCAAATATATGTTTCTTGTTATTGAAACGGCGGTTGAGAATTTCCCAACACATCGAGTAGTTTTCTGAGCTAATCTGTAAATGCTGTATTAGCCTTTCAGCTTCTCCATGCACCTTGCTCTTCAAAAACTGCATCTTTTGTGCCGGCGACAACGATATATTATTGTGTATCGCTTCAGTAAAGAGGTCTTTGAAGGACATCCATTGATTATATTTTCCGTGAAATACTGGTATTTCTAACTTAGGCGTTGTTTTCTGTTGGTGAGTATTTGCCCACATCTTGGTGTTTAGAGCTCTTTTCACGCTGTTGAATTGCATCTCATACCTCGTGTAGCGTTCGTCATAGGTTACAATCTTGTCGCCGTTAAGCTCGCACTCTATTTCCCAGTGTAGCTTATCAACAGCTGACCAACGCGCTTGTAGTATTTGGAGAGCATCCTCAAACTCCCACTTCTCTGTTATAAATTCCACTTGAATGTTAGCTACAGCTCTCATAAAAGCCTTGAAGTTCGCTGTTTGTTTACGAAGCAGGTCATCCAGCTTGCTGTTGGATCCTATGTCTCTCTTCGTGAGGATATGTTGTTGTTGGCGAGAAGGAGATCTATCTCTGTCGCTGTCATCATGTGTTTCAGATGGATTGTTCGTGTCACCCTCCTCCCCACTCGATTGATTCTCTTTTTCCCAACACTCTCTTGAACTTGCTGAGAGGTGCTCGGTGTTGGTGTTACTAATTTCCCAGTTGAGGACTGTAACTGTTTTGAAGACTGTTGTGTTGGGAAATGATTAGATCTTTCACATCTTGATAAATCTGACGTGTCTTGGTGTACAAAGCAGATGTAAAGTATGGGTGTTTACCGCTTTCTTCTGTCGTGAAACGGTCATGGTTAAATTGAAACTCACCCCATAAAGTTTCTAACATCTGCATTCGCCGCTTGAAATAGTCAGCGTTCTTCCTCGCCCAACCGTCTTTCTTGATGTTGATTCCAACCCTCTGTATGTTGTCAGACAGTTCCTTCTGGTTTTGATACATGTCTGCTGAGGACTCCATCATTCACTGTTATACTTCCGTTAAATACAAACGAAAACTTCGACTTTATCAATGCAGACTATCGCTCCACTCTCTCGGTTCTTGCTATTGTGTGACCACCTTTACTTACGATATTTTGCGACTTCTCAATTGATCACTGGTGAGACCCGCTTCTGGGAGGCCAGTGCAACCGATTCGCGAACGTAAATAAATAGTGAATCACACCGTTGCTCGAAGGACCATATGTAGGGGTTGTAAATCCCTACAGTGTTGATTATAAGTTTATGTTGCAATGTTGAATGTTGTTTATGTTAAATGAGTAGACGACCAATCTCTTAGATAGTTTTATTGCTACTGAATTAAATTAATTATATAGTTTACAAGGTTCAGAAATGCTGATTACGATGATTTAATTATTCGCGCGTATGACGACAAAGTCAATGTACAGCGTAGCTCGTACAACAATATTGTGATATATTTCAGGTTTTGTATACACTGGGAGTTCAATTCAAATGCATTTGCATAAAATAACCGTTTCATTATTGTTATAAATAAACATGTGTGTGTGTCCGCGCAGACCACGTGGCGCTGCTGATAGGCGTGGTGTCGATGGGCGTGCTGGTGGTCGTCGGGGGCGTGGCGCTGGCCCGCGCCCGCGCCTCCCGCGCGCGCCCCCGCGCCCCGCGCACCCCCCGCGCCCCCGCCGCGCTGCACGCGCTGCGCCCCCGCGGGGACGCGGAGATGGCCTGGGATGACTCCGCACTCACCATCACTGTCAACCCCATGGAAGAGGTAAATATCCAACTCATTAGACCGTCAAACACCCCGAGGACACCGGTGACGGTGGACCGCAAGCTATTGTTCTTTAATTGTGTATATAATGACGGTACTCAAAGGGTTAGTGAACTAAAGTTACAAGGTAGACAAATGGTATTAAACTATAATCGCATAGATAAAATACTCCCACCCTTTTTTCAATGTTTTTGGAATCAGCATTGAGTATTCCAAGTTCAGCAAAATATATTTTGTTGACATGATGAACATGAACACATGAATCGCTTGATGGTAAGTAATTCACATCGCCCGTCGACACTCGGAACACCAGATTAACAAATGTGTTTTGACCTTTGCGGTTGGAAATATAGGAATTGGGGATGAGGGAGAGAATTTAACCTGCAGTAGCTTAATTCACGACTCCGAAGTATTATCTTTACTAACTCCCCCCCCCCCCCCCCCCCAGTCGGTCCCGTCGTGCGGCACGCACGCGGGCGCGGACAGCTCGGACGGGGAGTCGTGCTCCGACTCCGACTCCGAACACCACGACTCCTCCGACGACGACGACGAAGGTAACCATACTTATATAACTTATACTGTTCATTTATATTCGACATTATTACAATGGCGTAAGATTGATAGTTATTAACCTTACGCCTTAATTATAATTAAAGTAGCTTAAAGTGCTGTTCCGGTCTCAAGACCATAGCCAAGATATGTAAGCTATTAAGCACATAGGACCATAGTTATAATACGACCCAAATCTTGTAAATAATTTATAATATGTTCATGGTCAGTCTTAAGATGTTAAGCTTTTGTTTAAATAAATTATACATATCAATAACGCCATATTGTCTCTCGTCCAGTGATGCCGGGCAAGGAGCACAAGTACAGAAACATCAGCCAACTGGAGTGGGACAACAGCACGATGTAATGCGCACGCGCACCTCACGCACACACGCTACTTCATCTGCGGGGTTTCCATACACGACACTCGTACAAACATACTTCTCAACTACGTCATAAACAACTCTAGACACATCTAAATTGAGTTAAATTTACAATAAAAGTACATTAATGTTTAGAAGTGTATTTGTACCTACTTTTTGTTTTGTTTGCAATTCATTGCGCTCGTCCGACCGTCATATCAACAGCAATGCCTTGTATACAGCGCAATGTTTTGTGAAGTTTCTTTTTCTGTCCCTAAGATGTATTCTATGATGAACAAAATCAATTTTTCTGAAGAAACGGAGAGTTAAAAATGATGAATAATTAACTTGCAACTAGATAAACCCGAGTCTTCAATCAAATTGTTTTTGGCGTCGTATTCCTAAAGTAAGATATATTATGGCAGCTTTCTTCTACGATATATTCTCGTGAATATACTAAGGCAGTCGTAGTCGAAGTACGCCGGACGTACTTAATGTATAGCCCAGTTTGGGACCTTATCTATATTACTTTTCTATTTTCTTCGTGTATAGAAACATCGCAACTCGAAACAAAGCGAGATATTCAGTACATTTCGGAAACGGAATTGATTTCAAACCCGCGTCAGTCGGTTATCGTACCTACGTAGTTATATGGAAGCTTTCAGCACAAACACACGCGTGGCACAAGACTTCGTACGTCGTCGCGAGCCGTGCACGGGACGGACACGACACGACATTTACTGGCAGGGAGTGACAGCTGCACGATTGAGATTATTTTTTACATTTATTGAGATTATTGGAACACGAAAATCTAGCTGAACGACTCGAATATTCAATGTGACAACCGCAGATTTTCCCCAGCTGTCAATCAACTGTCAGTAAGTAACGTGTGACGTCACTGGGTGCGCGTGAGTCGCTCCCTGACATCGCTCGCGACGTCATACATTTTATTTGTAGTCTATTCTAAGGTCTTTAAAAAATGATCATATCAAATTTATACGTAAAACGAAATATTATTTTGTCTCCTCGCTTGCTTTCGTAGAAGGAAATATGTCGTTGTTCTAAATATAGAGCTCTTACACTTTTTCTATTCGTTTCTACACTTAAGACAAATGAAAAAAACCTGTATGTATTAAATCGTAGTCGTTGTAATTTCGTATGGAATCGGTCATAAGAGGATAATTAGTATGTAAGCGTCAGATACTATGTTGTATATTATTGGATACATAAGGTAACGTGCGCTTCACTGGTTCAACGTTTCAGTTGCAGGGTGGGGACACGTGGCGCCCCCCCGTGGCCCCGCCGTTGTCCGCATTTAGTTTAGTACAAGGGAAAAAGACGCATTTATTTTACGGTACAAACGCTTCGTGATTCCCCATGTGTGTAGGTTTTAAAGTATTTGTCTTTCGACAAAAAATGTCCAACACTTAACCCTTTACGAGCTTCTCGACAAAATCGGCTTAAATGTATATTAGGCACAGAGTTATTTGAGAAATAAATAGATGTACGATATTATACACATTATACAGATGGTATCGATTTAGGATCAGCTACTATATAATGAACTATATTAATTATATATATATTTTGAATGCGTTAAGGGATTTTTACTAACAATTAGGTACTAAGTGGCTATGTGTTAGTGACGCTCGCGACCTCTGGCGGATGGCAAACGAAGACGTCGTGTAGACCTAAGTATAGGTAGGATCTGTTCTATGTTCTGTCCTGCTCGCACGCGCGGCGCTGGCTCGCTCTGTCTCTCTCGGACGTTGCATATCAAGGACCGTTTGCCATATTAGCATAGTTGTGTGTAAGAAGGACTGTAAGCAATGTTGTGGACATAATCATCGGTGTAACTGTAGTGACGTCACGTGCTGTTTCTCTTCTCTTGTGTTGGGTGTGGCGTGCCCAGCCCGCCGCCAGCCCCGCCCGGGGCAGCGACCAGCGTGGCCGGCACTTGTTGACTTTCTAAATTATTTCGTTAGTAGATGAACAATTTTAGTGCCATTTTTTATTTCGTACAACGATTTGTTTCGCCCGACAGTTGTTCGCTGCCCCCTGTATAGTTTGTTGATGTCCACCTGACAACCGTCCAGTCCCCCCTCCTCCCTTACTAGTAAGATCTGAACAGTTCGAGTATTCCTCGTAACTCCGCACAAAGCAGCCCCCTTCTCCCCCTCGACCACCCCCCTCCCCCCACACGCCGTGTGCCCCGAACTATCCTGAGGTAGCTACTTTATTTTCTTTTGTTTTAACTTTTTACTATTTTATTGTAATACGTTTTTTTATTTTTTCTTTTTGTATTATCTCGGTATTATTACTATATAATTAGGGAACTTCTTTGATGTATGAATTATTATATTTTAGCTAAAAATAAAGTTGGTTTAAAATATTTACTTGTGTTTTATTTTATGTGTAGATTCCCATGCTTGTAATATTATTACCTTAGTTCCTAAAATTGAGATATTGAAGTTCTTTATCCAAATTAACTCTTAAGTACCGAATACGGAAGAAAAAAACAGAAATAAGAAGTCGCAACAGTTTCGACTGCACGGTAAGCGCAAGGGCTAGACAACTGGCTGCTGCGCAAATTATCGCGGGTTCGATTCCTGTACTTTGAGTGTGATATGGATCTATAAATTTGCGGTATATAAAAGCATCTACGACACAGGACGTTGGACGTTGTACGACATTGTTTATGGGTGCAGGTCACGTCTTCATTTGACACAGCGCCATCTAGTTTAACGTGACTGCGGTTGAGTTTCTCTAGTATGGCAGGCAGCTCCCGCAAATATAAAGTGACGTAGCTGGCGCCACAGTTACAATCACTGTCTGCAAACAGATGTCGTTACTAGTCTTCACAATTTAGAAATGAATGCTACAATCCTGCCGGTTACTATGCTCGACTTGCCTAATGTTTTTACCGTACCTACCTTTAAAACTGCTTTGTACAAGTACTCCCAATTTATATAGAAGTCTACAAGGAAATCTATTCATCAAAATGTATATATTTGAACTCAAAGAGCATGGGTAAGTATTAGGTGTCTAGTTTTAACAATTACTTGATAAAAAATATGAATTCGTACTTTCATGTCTACATAAGAAATTACTTTGTTTATTGATAAATAAATAATGAATTATTAAGATACTTAATATAAGAGGTAACTAGATTACCTAAGTATTTGAGTACCTATTAAGTCAGGACGGGTAACTATTGTGGATGAAATTTTCAACATCATCTGTGGTTATCTTTGTGTCAGGAAGTACATAACATAACATAACATAACATCACGCCTTTTTATCCCCGAAGGGATAGGCAGAGGTGCACATTATACCACTGTACAATGTAACACCCACTTTTCAGTATTTATGTTATGAGTCCCATGTAATAGGGGGTGAGCCTAAATTTTCAACATCATCTGTGGTTATCTTTGTGTCAGGAAGTACATAACATAACATAACATCACGCCTTTTTATCCACGAAGGGGTAGGCAGAGGTGCACATTATACCACTGTACAATGTAACACCCACTTTTCACTATTTATGTTATGAGTCCCATGTAATAGGGAGTGTGTCAGGAAGTAATTACCGTCAATTCTGATTCTTTTTTAACCGACTTTTTGTATATACGTACCTATATTTTGATGGGCCCTCGTTTGGCGATTATTTCGCCTGGTGCTATAAGATGATGTGGCCTACAATGGAGATGCAACACGTCTGCCCGTTAAGCAACCTATTCAATCAGGCTCAGGCCTTGAAGACACCCAGGTTATAATCTTCAGAAAACACAGACCGGCAAAGAATTGCACTCCTTAGCAGTTACACAATTATATATGTATGTCAGTATGTGTATTAAATGTCTGTTGTTACTACTTAGTTGGTAGTCCAGAAACCTAGAATATGACATGTGTAGTGTGTACCTACACATTTACCAATGTCCTAAGTATGTACCTAGCTAGTATTTATACCTAGGACTTAGATAGTATTTCTTCGTCATCGACAGCCTGTGACAGTCTAGTGCTGGACTCTTTTACAAAGGTGGAGGACATACCATAATCTTAATGTTTGGCAGGTGGACTGGATTGGAGGTCGCAGTAATGATCAGGTTTATCAGAGAGGCTGCCCAGTGTCTGTTGAACGCACAGTCCCTTGTCGGCTCTTCTTTTGTCATCCATAGGAAGAGAAAGGGTGGTGAGAAATGAATTAAGATTGTTGCGTAGGTACTTATAAAGTAAAATAAAAAGTAATAACTAAATATGTCAGTTGAATTACCAATATGTTTCCAAAACCAATTTTATATTTCTTTTACTGTCTGAATGAAATGAGATATCCTTCACAATAAAATGTCACAAGTTTTTATTATTGTATATTTTGAAAGTAATCCTGTAGTCTCTGTCCCGAGAGCTACTCTATAGATCGTTGCGCAAACCTTATAAAACGTTCGCCAAACACTGCATAATACACGACACGAGACCCGCCTAATGAGTGCAAACGAGACGCAGATACACAGATACAGGGGGAGAGAATGAGAGGGTAGAGAAAATGTAGTAAATGCGCAACAGCGCGAGTGAGAGGGCGCGATGTGGGGCGCGGCGAGCTGAGAGGGAGGCGCGAGACGAGGCGCAGTTGGTCGCCGGCTGAATTATTGAAGCCAGCGACCGCCCTTTGGCAGCGAGTGCCGGCGCGTGCGGCGCCGCGCGGGGCGCGGGCGGGGGCGCGGGGGCGCGGGGCGCGGCCCGGCTGCGGGTGTTTGCCGCGGCCACTTGCCGCGCGCCTTTCCGACGTCACACCAATTTTGAATTTGCAACCGCCATCTTTGGCCAGTTTTTTGGTTTCCGTGGAGTGCAATGACCAGTGTGCCGCTGCTCACTTAGTGATGGACTGTCCGCTTCCAGCTGTTCAGTGCTAGGCAGTCAGTTGTTCCTTTCCTCGGCCGCTATGGACAGCGCAAGCTGCTGCTGATCTTGGAGTGCCGCCTACGGTTGCAGGTTTGTCCATTTTCCTCTACATAAGTGTTTACTTTACATCATCTCCATATGTCCTGTAGGTTATTTTGTCTCTTATAAGAATTGTCTAAGAAAATAATAAAAAGTAAGTAAGAATGCTATAGAATATTTTAAACAGTCGCATTTTCATAAA